AGAGAGTTGGTGGATGCCCCATCCCTGGAAACGTTCAAGGTCAGGTTGGACGGGGCTTTGAGCAACCTGATGTAGTTGAAGATGTCCCTGCCCATGGCAGGGGGGTTGGACTAGATGACCTTTAGAGGTCCCTTCCAACCCAAACAGTTCTGTGGTTCTGTGATGCAGCAGGGACAGCACGGACATGTGCATGGAGTAGCATCACTGAGAAGAAAAACAAACCTCTTGCTCTCACCAAGTTTGTGGACGACACCAAACTGGGGGGAGCAGTCACCACAGTGGCGGGCAGGGCTGGCAGTCAGAGGGACTCATCAGGCAGGAGAAACAAGCTGATGAGAACCTCATGGAGTCCAACAAGAGTAAGTGCAGAGTCCCTCATCTGGCACAGAGTAACCCCCATGCAAGAGGACAGGCTGGAGGATGGCTGTCTGGGAAGCAGCTCCATAGAAAAGGATCTGGAGATCCTGCTGGACAGGCTGAATATGAGCCACCACTGTACCCTTGCAGCAAAGGCAGCCAACTGCATCCTGGGCTGTATTAGTAATACTAGCCAGCAGGTCCTGGGAGTGATCCTTCCCCTCTGTTTGGCACTTCTAGGATTACATCTGCAGTACTGTGTTCAGTTTTGGGGTTGTTGGTACGAGAAGGATATTGACATGCTAGAGCAAATCCAGTAGAGGGCAACCAAGATGGTCAGGGAGCTGGAGAAGGTGATGTACAGGGAGAGGCCGAGAGAACTGGGTCTCTTCAGCCTGGAGAAGGGACAGCTGAGACCTTATCATTGCCTACAGCTACCTAATTGGAGGATACAGGGAAGATGGAGCTAGACTCTTCTCAGAGGCGCGCAGTGATAAGACAAGCTGGAACCTGGGAAAATCTAGTTAGATGTCAGGATTTTAATTCATTTTTTTTTTAACACCATGAGGGTGGTTGAATACTAGAACAAGTTTCTGAAGAGAGGTTGTGGATCTCTATCCCTGGCGTTGCCCAAGAGTCAGCTGGACATGGCTCTGAGTAATGTGATTTAATTAGACCTGTTTTGAACAGGAAGTTGGACTGGAGGAGTCTGGAGGTCCCTTTCAACCCGAGTTACGATTCTATGATCAAGTTTTCGATCTGCACCAATTTAATCCTTTTTGATGGACATCAGTCTGTGGACTCAACATCCACCTCAACTGCATTTCAAACAGATACTTTCTACAGGAATGTCTTCCTTGTGCCTGTCTGTAATTAACACTACAAGCATTTTTGCCCTATATGAGCATCTAATATATATTATGGATGACAACACAATCTCCTTGTGTTAGTTTTGCCTGGAGAAAGTACCAGTCCAAATTCTCTTTCACGTGTCCTTGTGAATCTGGATAAAGCCACTGTACTGAGCACCAGCTGCATAGAGGTAACTCAATGCATTGCACATGACAGTCTTTCTTTTCTGAACCGTGACTCATGGCTGAGAATACTAGAGAAAAATTTATTGTAATATGCCGATGACAATTTTCATGAGTGATACAGTCATGAATGTGTTATGACAGTTTAGTCATCAGTAAAGAAAGATAAATGTTGATACAGAAAAAAGGTGGTGTTCAGACAGGCAAACAACCCCCAGGAGTAAAGAACTTGTTCTGAAATATGTTGTGTCTTTGTCTGTGTTTCTAGGCAATTTAGTACGCTTTTTTCTAATTCTTTCCACTGTAGTTTATTTTCATCTTTCAATGTTTGTAGCTACAATACTTTCAACAACCTACTGTCCGTAACAACTAGGGAACTAGTAGAAATCCAGGGAAGTATCAGAGATCTCGGACCAATTTCTTGACTGATCAAGCAGGAGTTAGAACACCAACTCCTTTCCTGCAGCTGGACCCTGAGCCAGTAAAGTCAATCTGACGGAGACCGGTTCAGACAGGTGTGGACCACCCTCCTTTTTGCCCTTCCAATGGGTGTTGCTGCTCCTCAGCGGCTGAGACGCCACTCATCCAGTAACATGACAAGAAGCAGCTTTCTGCCCTGTTGGGACGAGGTGGCAGTTGCATGGGAACACTGGTGACATGTAAGTGTGCAGTGAGGTCTTTATACCACACCACACACCCATGAAATATACCTCCTGGTGATGTCCTGTTTCTGTGCAACACAATGCTAGAAGACCTTTCCCACAGCTTGGGTATCCACCCATTTCAAATGGAACTGACAGCCTCGCGGAAAAAAAAAAAAGACTGTTAAAATTTTAGGGCATTTTAGGGAAACACCAGTTCTTTATCATGTCATGCTTTTGTGTCCAGTAGTATATTTCTATTGGTCTCAATATTCAATCATTGTAAGAACAATTTTAAATGATGAGATTTATCAGCTTTAATATTTTAATGTGTTTTAAGCAGCTGATAAGCCTGTTTATAAGATTGAAATTAATTTTAATAAAGCTCAAATTTAACAGAATCCCCATTTGGCGGGTTTATGCAGCCTCTTTGTTTGAGGTAGGAATGAACAGAACAAGTTACATGGGTTTTATGAAATTAGAGAGCTATGGTTTGAAGAACATTAGCTCATTCTTTTGATACAGGACCCTTGCGGTACCTACACAGAGTCTCTTGAATCTCTCAGTACACAATAACACTCCATGCAGAATTTCTTTCCGTTTCAATCCTTCAGTCTTGCTTACAACTTTAAAGAGCTCAGTCAAATTAACTGTGTTGAAATCAATGGGTATTCAAAAGCGATGATTTTTTTCTCTCTTCACACTGTGTTTTTCTGTTCTGTTCTGTGATCTTAGGTGAAGTTTCTGCTGATAGCCACATAGCTGTCACTAATTGTTGAAGGGCAACCTATCCTCCAGTAAGCGTATTACATCCAATTTCAGTGCAGTTAAATTAGATTTCTCTAATTTTAGGATTTCATTGTGAAAAATGCTTAGCATGTTGTAGAAAAATCTACATATTCAGCCACTCAGTGTCTCACCATCCTCCTGGAATGTGTCGTCCTTGACTTGGAATTTACACGTAAGCAAATCTTTCTTTACTGGACTTAGAAGTGTCTGGTGCTCTGAAGCCGTGCTCCCCCCACACCCCCAAGCACATCCCCTCTGACAACACAGCAAAGCCTTCCCCTTCCCCGGCCATAGTCCAGGTAGCTCCTGAAGGCCAGGGTGGCCGCTGCCCCGACAGGACACGGCAACCAGCGGCAGGGCCGGGCCGCTCCCGGGGAAAGCTCCCA